TCTATCAGTTTTGGTAATTTAAACGTTTAATTAGTTAGGTGCCAATATTTGAAATTTGTGTTTGTTTTTTTACATTATATTTTTACTTTTTCATTATATGTCAACTTAATTTCAATTAATATTTTTTTAGTTTTAGTTACTAATAACAACATTGTAATGGACAAAAAAATAAAAAAGCTCATGTTTCTATTCACAGCCACAACAAACCACTACCACAGCTGGCCTCATCACTGCCGTCAGCACAGTCTGCGTCTCCATCACAGACAAAGGATTCTGGGATACAACGGTTTTTATCGCAGCGATGACCGCAGCCCTCGTCTGGCTTGAAGCAGTCGACTTCATCGGAGCGATCCTGACACTGAGCCACACCGTCACACACCTGCCGACGCTCGATGCACTTCTTACCATGTGCACACTGAAACTGACCTGAGAATATTAACATGTGAACACCAGAGCAGGAATTGAAAAAGAATTTCTAACCATGTATAAGTGCATGTTGTGAGAGGCTGCCAGTGTGTTGCGATGTGGTTTCCTCACCAGATTCACACTCCACAGAGCACTCGTCTTCATCAGACCCATCATTACAGTCATGCTCGCCATCACACACGTGATTATTGAGTACACAATCTGTCCCATCTCTACATAACTTAGAGCCGATTGAACAGCGTAGAGGACCTTTAGTTACAGGAGCTTTTCCTGAGACTTCATCCTCTGTTGTCTTTTCCTCCTCCGCGACGCTATCATCATCATCATCATCAGGGCTGATATCTGAGAAGACAAGAGGAAACTTTAAGACTAAAGGCATGTTTTTGGAAACTTTTGCTCTGAAGTACAATTACAATTTTTTTTTTTTTTGTAGTAGTAACCAAACAATTTTGGGTCCCATTGACTTCCATAGTATGGAGAAAAAATACAGTGGAAGTCAATGGGACCCGACTACTTGGTTACCAACATTCTTCAAAATATGTTCCACAGATGAAAAATGCATAAAGGCTTGGAATGACATGAGGGCGAGTAAATAACGACACTTTTCATTTTTTGGTTGACTATACCTTTAAGGGTGCTGCATGTAATTTTGTCTGCACTAAAGCCAAAAAATAAAAATAAAAATACATGTTTGCAAATATTTAGGAAATGTGCAAAGTTCACATACTTGTTTCTCTGAAAATCAATGCTACAGCCAGTTATTCATCTTTGAAATGCCTGTTCTGTGTCAGAATGTCTGTTTTTTTGGGGGGGTCCGTGTGATTCAGTCCACTGCCAATTTACCCTGGGTTGCCAGTTGGTGGAAAACACAGCGCATTACAGCCATGGAAGCCAGCAAAGGAATTGGGTCAGAGATCGCAGATTCTACCCGACCTATAAAGCCTTGGCATCCATCTGAAAAAACATCGCTTGGTTGCCTTCCATTGTTAATTGCACTCATTCATGCACGTCTTCAACCTGGCAACCCATGTGAGCGCAGAGTCTGAGGAGGAGGGAACAGGGGCCTGTTTCATAAAACAAGTTTACCAAATAAGCCAGGCTTATTTCAATTCGTCTGACTTATTTTGAACCAAATCAACTGACAATGTCAGACTAACTGAAGTAAGCCTGGCTTATTTGGTAAACTTGTTTTATGAAACAGGCCCCAGGAGAGACAACGCTCTCCAATATTTTGAAATTTGTACTGCAGTACCCATTTCAACCACCAGCTGTCAACATTACATACTGCACCTTTAAGTATGCAATGTAATGAGATCATGTGACAAACGTAACACTCAGAAAGAAAGGTACAAAAACTATCACAGTACCTTCTCAAAAGGTACACCTGTGTACACGGTTTACCTCTAATGGTACATAGTAGTACCTAAATGGTACATATTTGAACCTTTTGAAAGGTCAGCTTTTATACCTTTTTCCCCCCTCTGAGTGTAGGGTTAATTCAGGATAATAAGTTTTGAAAATGTTTATTGTAACCGTTTCACATACCATTATGTGAAAATAGTAGGTAGTATGCACGAATAAGTGTGCATGTTTACATTCTGAACCAGATGCAGCCAGATGATTTTACACTTCGTTTTAGTTACAATCCAGTAATACTACTTAACCTAATTCAAACCCCTACCACAGATTTCCTCATCACTGCCGTCAGCACAGTCTGCGTCTCCATCACAGACAAAGGATTCTGGGATACAACGGTTTTTATCGCAGCGATGACCGCAGCCCTCGTCCAGCTTGAAGCAGTCAACTTCATCGGAGCGATCCTGACACTGAGCCACACCGTCACACACCTGCCGACGCTCGATGCACTTCTTACCATGTGCACACTGAAACTGACCTGAGAACAGATGGAAAAAGGGGGAAGTCATGGCCTAATGGTTAGATTAGGGCTGTCCAAACTTGGTCCTGGAGGGCCGGTGTCCTGCAGAGTTTAGCTCCAACCCTAATTAAACACCTGAAGCAGCTAATCAAGCTCTTACTAGGCATAGAAACGTCCAGTCAGGTGTGTTGAGGCAAGTTGGAGCTAAACTCTGCAGGACACCGGACCTCCAGGACAGAGTTTGGACAGCCTTGGGTTAGAGCGTCGGACTCGTAACCCAAAGGTTGTGAGTTCGAGTCTCAGATCCGGCAGGAATTGTAGGTGGGGGGGGGGGGGGGGAGTGAATGTACAGTGCTTTCTCCCACCTTCAATACCACGACTGAGGTGCCCTTGAGCAAGGCACCGAACCCCCAACTGCTCCCCGAGCGCCGCAGCATAAATGGCTGCCCACTGCTCCGGGTGCGTGTTCACGGTGTGTGTGTTCACTGCTGTGTGTGTGTACTTAGGCTGGGTTAAATGCAGAGCACTAATTCAGAGTATGGGTAACCATACTTGGCCACATGTCACTTCACACTTTACAAAATACAATGCTTTTGAATTTTGCAAACTAAAAAAATAATAAATCAGGCAGCCTACCAATTCATTTTATCTGGGTAATGTGCACATTTGCCTTCCAAATCGAAAAAAATGGTCATCAGAACTTAACCAGTTAATATGAGCATCAATTTATTGTTTTCACAATTAACAGATTTATTGACTCTAAGCCATTTGAATAAATGCATTTAAAAAAAAAAAAAAAGCAAAATAGATGCAAATAGTTAATAAATGATGCCCTTTTTTGAGTGCAGAAATCTTGCATGTTTAATAACTGACAAATATGCATCACATTGTTGATTAGTTTAGGCCCATGTTAAAAGCGTTTAACAGTTTGTGTTAAAAAATGTGCAAATAGATGGAATTTTTAATATAGAATCGAATTCAAATCTTTATTCTAGGCCCCTGGAAATCAGTTTGAGGGCCAAAAATTGTCTTCTAATAAAAATGTATAAAAACATACCTATGCTGCAAACAGCAGCACATTCTTCTTCATCAGAGCCGTCAAGACAGTCATTCTCGCCGTCACACACATGACTGTACAGCACACACTCTGCTCCATCCTTACAGGGTTTGAAGCCCAGTCTGCAGTGCAGGGGAACACGATCAGAAGCCACTGCAGCCTGCACACGTTCAGCTATAGAGCACAAACAAGTCAAAGCAAATGAACCTCAGGCAATCTCAGCACAGAGTCCCATTATACAGTAAAGCAGTCATTTGAAATTCATTTTCTATTTAAATGAACACAAAGACATTACTACAAATACTACCAAGATGTACAAGCACGGTCTACACATAATTGTAGTTTTTGTTGAGGGAGAAACTGTTATTAAAGTAATGCCACAACGCAAAAAAAAAGTTAAATAAGAATAATTGCCTGCATGATCATAATGCAACCTGATTGGTTTTATGAGATTGGCATGCAGGCAGCTTCAAATTTGAGCTAGATTTTGTAGCCTATTTTAATGTATGCAAATAAAGGCAATGCCTCCAAGAATGAAAATTACAAAGATAGCCTACTATATACACTGTACTGCTTAATAAGTAAATAGGAAATAGTCTCGATTGGTATTAGTTTGTCAACTCGCATTCAGTGACTTCACCTATTGCTCAATTTCTAGACAAGAAGGTAAATGTTAGACTGAAGGTTAATGTGAGACTCGCATCTGACCTCTCAGAAGCAGAAAGATCCCTGAAGCGACATTCAGCAGCACAAACAAGCACATGACTGCAGGGAAACCCGGGTCAAGCCGTGTCGGGTCGAGATGTGGCGCTTTAATCGAGCGAACAGCTGAGATCGATGCGGCTTAATTGATCAGATGACAGCAGACCAATGAGTGATGACAGATTTGTAACGACATACTGTGTAATTGAATTCATTTCTATATTTTTATTTTTATTTTTTTATTAATACTAACTTTTAGTTAGGCTAGCCTACTACTAAAAAGTCATAGGCCTAATAAATATTAAGAATTAATTATATAACAACAACAATAATAATAATAATAGCCTAATAATGTTAATTATTATTATTATTATGATTGTTGTAATTATTAAAATAACGTATACACGTAATAACCCATGGTAACTTACGTAATTTTTTTTTATTTATTAATTTAATGTATATTAATACCGTTAGTAGGCTACGTCATTAAAATTAATTAATTATTATACTATCATATCACTCAATTATTTTACTTATTTGTAATTGTATTCTATATATATATATATATATAGTTAGTTGTCCCGTTGTTACGTCTGCAGCGCTTTTGCTCCAGACACTAGAGGGCGATAAAGCGCTGCTCTCTCTTTTAAAACCAGGATCAAAATGTCAACAGAGAGAAGAAACGCGCAACAAAGTAGCATCAAATGACTGTGAACTTTGCCTCATCGATAGCATTTCTGACTTGTTTTTGTAAAGAATGTGAATGATGAACCGGAGTATGGATCATTTTAGCACACTTATCGCCGTGGTGTCAGGTGTAACGGTGTTGTATCTCTTTCACTCAGTCTTTTACGCTTCTCACGTCTCATTTAAAATAACTCACACAGTCTTTGACTCCCAGAAGCATTTGCCAGGTTCAGTTTACCTCATGACCAGATACATTTATCAATGTCTCCGCAAAAAACGAGGAACAATGAGGAAAAACAAAGACACAAACGACGAGCTTGTTTTCACTTTGGTCAACTGCAGGTAAAGTTGTTGACTTCAAGAAACTGTAGTGTACATGCAATATAATATATTTAAACAACTTTATTGTTTATATATTTTATGTTTGATTTTTTTATTTACAAACTAAATGAAAATACAGTGCATGTACCTGTATATTTGAATGGCCACTCATTATATATTGTCATAGAATGTTAAAAATGTTCATGAATTTTAAAGGGGTCATATGATGCTTTTTTTAAAAGATCATTATTTTGTGTATTTGGTGTAACAGAATATGTTGACATGCTTTAATGTTCAAAAAACACATTATTTTTCAAATACTGTACATTATTGTAGGTCCTCTATGCCCCGCCTCTCTCAAATTATAACGTGTTTTCCAGTTGTTAATTGTTGTGGATTTGTCTGTAGGTATGATGCCGTATCTTTGAGGAGGTTCTGCAGTGTTTCAGGTTATGGTTGGGACTATCCTGACAGTGTCTTCAGAGACGTTCCCTTATGCTACCCTGAGTTTCTCTTCACCAGACTTCTCACTATGATTATGTGCTCAGAGAGATTCAAACTAAGCCCTTTGGGTAAGATCTTCTGGCCCTTTTCAGCACATGGGTCAAGCACAACCCCTGTCAACAAATAGAAAGGAATTTTGAACATATTCAGAATCAGTCCTACTGATCTTATCAAATCCTCGAATCAAATAAGAGCCTACTACTGAATTTATTTGTTCAAAAATATATTTTTTCTGGTCAGATTTAATTTAATTCATATATGATTTTTATTTGACCTCAATATGATACAAATTCAATAATAATTCCTTTAGAATTCTGAAATAACATTTCTCAAATCAATCATTGTATAATATTGCAGTGTATAATATACAATCAGTGTATAATAATATAATATCAGCTGGTCATTATCACAAAATAAACAGCAATTTGATGTATGAAAATATTGTACAATAAATATTTGTCACCAGAATGCCTTTACTGACCAATCAAATAGTCCAGAGAGCTGTGGAGAAATATTGTATATATCTGTTAATAAACTTACAGAATCCAGATCAATTACAAAGAAAATATTTTTAATGCTAAAGGCACATAACCCAAGAGATGAGAATAAATATGTGATGATTATGTAATAAAATATGATAATTAAATGTGGTATGCCTAGTGTAGTATGATAGTTTTTATTAATAATTTTGAATTAGTTTTTTTTTTAATATATATTCCATTTTAATTTTTGTTGAACATTTTTGTTAGTTTTTATTTTTTAAAAACATGTTTATATAGTTTTTTTTTAGTTAAACTAATGGAAATGTTGCCTTGGCAGCAAGCTGAATTAAAAACAAATATTTATTATATTTTATAATATATTTAATTTCAGATAATATTTACTTTATTCAAAGTAATGAAAATGTTTTTATTGTTTTTGTTTTAGTTAACTATATAATAACCCTGGTTATGCCCCACTGATGGCCATTAAAAGGAGAATCACTGCTACTTTCTGCAGGTCTGTTGAGTGTCTGTGAGAGTTTGAGTCTGAGCGATGCCTTGGATGAGCTGAAGAGAGAGACGTTCTCCCTGCAGGCTAGAGTGCTGAAGTACAGGACTGTTAGTGCTGGAGTGGAGGTGGATCTCGCTTTAACTGCATCTAGAGATCAGCAGACCGTTTGGAGCAGCACACTGACTCTACTCTCGCCTAACAATACATACAGACCTGATGCTCAGCCTGACTTAGAAATCACCCATGGTAAGGGACCCAGTGGTATTGAAGACTGCAGGCATATCAGTGGCTGTGAGGAGCTGTTTTTACATGTCCTAATGCAGGACACTTTCATCAGACATTTTCATTTACTGTATGAACTGAACCTGTGTCTTTTTTCAGATCCAGTCTCAGAGAGATGCATCAGCCTGGCTGTTCCTTGGTCCACAGGTGTGCGGAGCACCTGGGTGTTTGGTGACCTTTGCCCTCTGCCTGTGTTTGTTTGGCTGGGATTTACCCGTCCCACCACACACCCACTGTGGATGTTCTCCAGGTGCATGGCAGAAATGGAGAAACACAAAGGTAAGTAATGTTTGAAGGCCTATTCACAAGAACAGCAAAATGACAACATGCAAATTGACAAAAAACATATATATATACACACAGTGGATCATCAGTCATTTTATCCTGTTTTTTTTTTTTTTGTAGGAGTTGAAGTGGTGAGAGCTCCTCTGACTGTGTCAGTCTGTTACAAACAGCCTGTGTCTTTACCGAGGAAAGTCAACATCAGAGTCAGTGAAAACACTAGTGTAACCTTAAGCACAGCATCATTTTCGTTGGAGGACCACAGAACCAGGACACTGTACCTCTCAGGACAGATAAAACGACAGACAAGCGAGAAAGCAGAATGATGGTGATGTAATCCTGACAGAAAGGATACTAAGCACTCAACGGCTCGGGTGTCAGACAGGGTTATGGTGGAACTGAGTAACAGAGGCCATCACAAACAGTGATCTCAGCCACAAACCTAAAATACAAGGGCCCTAGGAAGCGACGCTCCTATACGCTCCTAATGATATTTGAAATGTCTACTTTAAAGACGATTAAGGGGACTTATCATAGAGAACAGGAATCCTCTTGCTCTATTGAACTGAAGGAATCAATGTCCTGTGTAGACAGACTCAGTTCACAACACTTACTCCTCAGTCCACTCTTACAGATACTGTATAATAATTCACATATAAATTAATATTCTTTATTCAGGAACTTGACCCACTCTGATGAGCTACAGCAGAGGTTAGTCAATCGTAACATCAGCCATTTACACACAGAAGCCTTAAATATACAGAATCAAAACTGCCTGATTATTCCTAAGGATTGGAGAGAGGTTTGAAAATGGTCATATATGACTAAATAAAAGGTAAACATGAATAAAAAAAATGCTACAAAAATGTTAAATATTTCTAATTTAAATAGGGTTATATTCTATACTTTTGCTTTTAATTCACTATTGTATAATGCATAATGCATTGTACATGTGCAGTCAAATCACTTTTAATCAGTGTCTGTGTCAGTAGGGGAGGAGTTTGAGTGGAGGGCCGTTTCTCATGAATATTTCAGTCTCTCCAGTCTTTCCTTATCCTTTCCCTATGCATGCACACACGTGTGTAAGTGCTCCATGTGTATTATTCATTAGTATGTGTTCAGCGTATGAGGAGGGCTTTCTCATAAAAACTGCTTTCAGAACAACTTAACGTGTGTGTATACACACAGTATATAAAATATACAATATAAATATATTTTCTATATTATGGCAGTAAATTGACCTTGTTCGCACTGAAACATTTACTTAATTATAATGAGGAGTTATCTATGGTCTCTTACTATGGTCAATGTAATATATTTCATTTTGGGAGACGGATAGATGGATAGAGATTTTTAAAATATTAATTTGATTTATTTTTTGCAAGCATCCTAAAAATATATTAATATATAATTAATATGTCTGTCATAGGACAGTTATTTGTAAAATTTGCTTTAATATATATATATATATATATATATAGTCAAGAATTCATTATCCATGTATATAGTAAATTCTTGACTGTATATACAGTAAATAAAACTGTACAAATAGCATGTCTAAAACTGTTGTGTAGTGACTGTACTCATAGCCTGATAGACATCATTAATTTATAAAGGCCTGATTCTGTCGTGTGTAATCAGTGTGTTTGGAGCAGTGAGTGCGAAAGCTGCTGTGATCAAAGAGGAAAATAAAAGCGTAAGTTCAATATTGTCTATTAAGCTTTGGTAAAACTTCACTATTTTATTTTTAAAGAGAATTAGGCTGCTTTCTGTAGTTTGTGCTGAATTGTTTGCATCTAAACGCTTCTTGATATGCAGATGTGTCTTAGTGTTCCTCACGAGTGACAGGCGCTCCAGAAAGAATGTCTTTCTTCTTCTGAAAATGCCTTGAAGTCTCTTGGGAACTTTGAGTTATTTTTGCTGCTTTTAAAGGTTTCGTGTCTTTATTTCATCCTGTTGGAGAGCGCTGGGGAAAAAACTGCCCACCTCCCATTTTCATTCCCTCATCCACTCCTGTTTCTTCATCTTTC